GTTGATAAAGTACAACTCCCTCACACCTTCAGCACTCATACATCCCTATAGAAGAGCTTTACTACCACTGAACGTCACTGTAGGTACCAAGCACTTCTCTCTGTACTCCTCCTCTAGCAACACCAGAACATTTTGGATGCTGTTAGATCCGAAATGATTGAATTGGTCTCATGAGACCAGAGTATGGATTCCCAGAAGTCTATATTTTGTAAATATGGGCCTTGGAAAAAGCTAAATGAGTTTATTGTGCTTTGGCTAAAGTAGGTAATTCTAGTGGTGACAACAACCATGCATGTCACTTCTGCAGGCTGCGTCATACTCTGTGAGATAAAGTGTCACTCTTTTCACAGCTTTTGCCGGCTCTGAGACACTTTCACACGTTTCTCCTGCTCTTTTTCTAGCAAAAACACACTCGTTACTAAATTAAAGCTTAAAGTGAAGACCTGATTATTTCAGGAGCCTTATCACAAGTCCATAGTTTTTGAATGTTGGTGCTACTTCTGCTATATTTTCACACTTAAAACAATAATTTGCTATTCCTCTTGTACCATTGTCCTCTTTTATGCTAAGAAATAAATCTCTTGACAGTTCTCTCTCAAGTGGTTTCATTGTTGTCAGCATTAAGTCAAAGTATGATTCAGTGGGCCATATAACACTTAATTATCAAGAAATTACTTACCTTTAACAGTTTTGGTTCAACATACTTACCTGTTGATCAATACTTGCCTTAAACTTACACCAGAATCTGCGGCGCCCGGGGAGCAGTTGGGGGTTCGGTGCCTTGCTCAAGGGCACCTCAGTCGTGGTATTGAAAGTGGGAGAGAGCGCTGTACATTCACTCCCCCCACCTACAATCCCAGCATTAAGTCTGAGTATGATTCAGTGGGCCATATAACACTTAATTATCAATAAATTACTTACCTTTATCCTTTAGTTTAGTTTTGGTTCAACATACTTACCTGTTGATCAATACTTGCCTTAACCTTACACCAGAATTCATTTTTTTATATTCGATACACACAATAATAAAATACTGTATAGTTAAATAGTTATTTTAGTTATATTAGTATATTGCTACAAACGTAACACCAATGTAAGAACAAAATGTATGCAACTTAAACTGGTTATGGAGGAGTCATAAAAGAAGCAGGTTAAACTCACAGCACATGCGGTATTTACTGACTGAATAGAGATGTCAATCATCAGCTGCACTCATGAACACTGCGGTTTGCGTGAATCCCTCCGCAACCATCCTTTGCCAAATGATAAGCACACTACTATATCGCGATTTTATTTTCTGTTCGATTAGTGTTATTACAAAACTGTGGGGAGACAGATTATATTATGACATTCATCATTATAAAATAGACATTCGATCTAGAGTGTAATAAAGAAGAAAAATTTATCCGTTTAAAAAGGCTATTATTCACCTCCTGTATGTGCTTTAAATCTTCGACGTAGACCGCATTTTAATCTTTGTTTTGCGTAAATTACAGTTGATTCATGTGAAATCCTTTGCAATATCATCAGACGATCTCTTGTCGGTGGAAAGACTGTAAAGCCGCGCGATGCGTGATATCACAACAGATGGCGGTAATGAACAAATTTAGTTTGTGATCTAGTCAGAAGAAGACGCTGCACTGCTTCAATGCATTACAGGCTCGTGACTCATCAGAACACAAAACGGAATGTAGCGTTTGGTCGCGCTACATCGCTACTTGCTGGAAAAAGTAGTTAGCTACAGGAAAAGCTACACTGTTTTAAAAGTAGCATCGCTACTGTAAAGCTACTGAAAAATGTAGTTAAGCTAGTAGCGTCGCTACTTGTACCTAGCTACTCCCCAACACTGCCCATAGCAGATCTATACAGGTGGAGCTGGGGAAGGTGGGGGGTTTCAGAGTAGCTCTGAAAGCACGGTGCAAAATGCTCTAGTGAATGCTAACCAGCCATTTAAATGTAAACAACAAGCTTATTGGCTGCCTATGCTACATGAACCAATCAGCCTGTGCCAAGTTGTTTAACGCTGAGAATATCATCAGTTTACGTTAAGGACCCATCAGCCTGCACCATCTAAAGTTTTAGGGCCCTATCATACACCCGGCGCAATGCTTTTGCTAGTTTCAGCCGGACGCAGTCCTCATTTTCCCGTCCTGTGCCACGTTGTTTAAATAGCAAATGCATTTGTGCCCATTTGTGCGCCCATGGGCGTGCTGGTCTAAAAAAGAGGTGTGTTCAGGCGCATTGATGGCACGTTGCTATTTTGAGGAACTGAAAATAGACTGCGCCATAGACCAACAAAAACCTGGTCTAAAGTCTGGCGCAATATTTTTTCTTTGTTATTTAAAGAGTGCGTTAGTAATATGTGCCTATAGATGGGTGCACAACACACGTACACTTTACACACACAGGGACACGCAGCAGCACACAAACATTTTTAAAAATGAAAAATGACATTCCGCCATGTAAATAGCGAACCCGCCATGGCACGAGCGCAACTGGCTTTTAAAGGTGATGGGAGATGAGACTCTGATTGGTTTATTGCACGTTACGCCCAAAAAACACCCATTACTCATTAAGATAATAGGGACAACCCTTTTAGACCATGCGCCCGGGTGCGCCGACCGTTTTCCCGTCGCTAAACTAGGAAAAGTGGATTCGGACACGCCCTGAGTCCACCTGCGCCGTGCGCTTTAGACCATGCACTTAGATCGTTATAATAGGGACCTTAGACAGAACTTGGCATTCATTTTACCGCTGCAAGTTGAAGTGTTTTATTTCAGTTTGTTGCCAAGGCAACATTTCTCATTTTTGTTTCTGCTTTATTTCAATCAATTACAAAAAAAGCCATCCAACCTGGTATTCCCTACATTATAGGGACCAAATATCCCTACAAGTAATACCAGTACATTTTAACCATGTGGTGGGAACACTTTTTTTTTTGGAAGAAACAAGTTTATAAACTTGAAGAAGTTTCTTCCCCCCTTGAAGAAACAAGTTTATAAATCATACAGAATGCAGTTTTTTTGGGGGAAAAAAAAAAATCCCAAAATCCAAGTTTTGTGTGAGGGGTAGATTTAGGGGTAGGGTTTCTCTGAGCAGATATAGGAGTTTTAAGAACTGGTTTACCATTGAAAATCCCTGAAGGGGTAAAATGGGGAAAGAATGTGGCGTGAATGAAGTGCAGCTCTGTTTCCACTTGAGTCTGTGAGCAGTAGGTGGTCAGATCTGTCTGTCTGTCTGTCTGATGCTGCAGGCCATTTCTACATCTGTGTAAACACAAACACACACACACACACACACACACACACACACACACACACACACACACACAGAGACAGACAAACAGAGACACAGACAGAGCTTTAAACTGACATTTGTCCTGCTGAGTTCTGCTCATGTACTCCATTCGTGGTTTATCTTTCTCTCCAACGCTCGTTTTATCACGCAGCTCTTGATAATGAAGTTTTCTCAGTTCCTTTGTAAAGTTTGATCAGGTCATAAACTGAATATCTCTGGTTCACTGTAGATTATCACACACGGACACAGACTGCAGGTGAAAACACTGATAAAATAACTAATTTAATAGAGATTTAATCACATTCAGCTCTCAGTACACAGTGTTTGCTTCCATAACTTTATCCATAATGTCAGTCAACATTCCACATTTACTACAGTTAATGCTATTCCTGTGAAAGCATAATCAATTTTTGTGGCATGTTTTCACAAAATATTCTGCAGTACAACAATTTTCAGCATTGCTAATAATCAGAAATATTTCTTGAGCAGCAAATCAGCATATTAAAATGATTTCTGAAGGATCATGTGACACTGAAGACTGGAGTAAGGATTTTACAATATATAAACATAGAAAACAGTTATTTAAATTATAATAATATTTCACTGTTTTTACTTCTTTTGATCACTTGTTTGATGATCTGAAACATTAAAGTGTGACAAACATGCAAAAAAATAAGAAATCAGGAAGGGGGCCAACACTTTTTCACACCACTGTATATATATAGTATTATGGTCTATAAAAAGTGCAAGACTCAGAGTTTATTTCTTTAATGTTTCAGAGTTTATTTCTGAATCAGTGATTATTTTACATGTACAAAAAGAATCAGTTTAGTTACTTTTGCACAGAACAGTCCTTTCTATTCATTTTGCTCACAGCACGCAGAGGAAGCGACTGATACAAAAGCACTCGTCTCTTTCAAAAGCATTCACTTCAGATGAACTGGATATCTATCTTAAGCTCCAGCAGAGACCCGAATGTTTCATCAGAAATGCACATTTTTGTATCTGATGGAGGTCGTGTTTGTGTACGGGTTTATCTGGAGTATGTGTAAATATTTAATGGGAGACGGACTGCAGAGAGCTTGAGATTTCTGCACTGATTTATATGTGTGTTTATTATCTGAGCTGAATAACAGTTGCTAGGGATCTGACATCGATAAAGTCCAGATAAAATATCATGTAGAGTCCATCAACATTTATAAAACATCGTCTTGTATGAGCTCATTTTCTCATTTTACAACAACAACATGTCTTTATTTTCTACTACGTCTTTTTTGTTCACTTATAGAAATTAATCAAATATACATGACATTACTATAATAATCTTTGGTTTCATTCATATAATTATGCATTTATTCTCTCCTTCACTTTGCAGAGTTTTTGATGGATTCCCAGCCGACTTCAGCGTAGACTTTGTTCATCTGCCAGTACAGGACGCCCAGGAGTTTAGACCACGCGCTCTGCACCGATGCCGGACTGAAGCATTGTGGGAAAGCTTCCACCAGCACCTCCAGAATTACTCCAGCCAGAATCTGCAGTAAGATATTAATCATTTTATTCAGCAAGGACTCAGTCAATTGATCAAAAGTGACAGTAAAGACATTTCTAATGTTACAAAGATTTCTATTTCAAATAAATGCTGTTCTTTTCTGCTTTTTATTCATCAATAAATCCGGAAAAATAAAATCACAGTTTCTTTGGTTTCATTCATATAATTATGCATTTATTCTCTCCTTCACTTTGCAGAGTTTTTGATGGATTCCCAGCCGACTTCAGCGTAGACTTTGTTCATCTGCCAGTACAGGACGCCCAGGAGTTTAGACCACGCGCTCTGCACCGATGCCGGACTGAAGCATTGTGGGAAAGCTTCCACCAGCACCTCCAGAATTACTCCAGCCAGAATCTGCAGTAAGATATTAATAATTTTATTCAGCAAGGACTCAGTCAATTGATCAAAAGTGACAGTAAAGACATTTATAATGTTACAAAGATTTCTATTTCAAATAAATGCTGTTCTTTTCTGCTTTTTATTCATCAATAAATCCGGAAAAATAAAATGCATCACAGTTTCAACAAAATATGAAGCAGCACAACTGTTTTCAACATTGATAATAATCAGAAATATTTCTTAAGCAACAAATCATCATATTAGAATGATTTCTGAAGGGTCATGTGACACTGAAGACTGGAGTAATAATGCTGAAAATTCACAAAAGTAAATTACATTTTACAACATAGAAAACAGTTATTTTAAACTGTAATAATATTTCACAATATTACTGTTTTTACTGTATATTAATAAATTAAATGCAGCCTTATTGAGCAGAAGAAACTTCTTTCAAAAACATCCTTTATAACTTTGTATCATGCTGTTTGTTCCTCGTACTCACTTTGAAGTAAACCGGATCCACCTTGTGTCTGAGCGCGTGTGATTTGCCCATCTGCTGGAAGATGGTGTTGAGTTTGTCTCCGTCACGCAGGTTTTCCACCAGCGTGTTGAGGGCGGTCATGACCCGCAGCGCGTGTTTCTTCAGCTGGATGCTTTCCTTCATCTCCTCGGGATCCTGCATGTCACGGAATTGATCGAAGTACTGCTTCGCCGATGGGAAGTTTGAGAAAAATCTGGAGGAACACACATTTAGTTACTTTCAAAACAAAAATGCATTGACACCCTGACCCCCCTCATACGATTTAAAAGAATAGTTCACCCAAAAGTGAAATTTACTCATTCTCAGGCCATCCAAAAGTTTGTTTCTTCATCAGATTTGGAGAAATGTATCATTGCATCACTTGCTCAGCAATGGATGCTCTGCAGTGAATGGGTGCCGTCAGAATGAGAGTCCAAACAGCTGATCAAAACATCACAATAATCCACAAGTAATCCACACCACTCCCATCAGTTAATGTCTTGTGAAGAGAAAAGCTGCGTGTTTGTAAAAAACAAATCCATTATTAACGCTGCTTCCAACTCCATAATCCATAATAATGCTTCCTCCAGTGAAAAAGTCCATCTGTTGTCTCTCACATCAAAATCTACCCTCATATTTGTTTAGAGTTGTTTAGATCTGTTTTGGCTTGTAAACGGTGCTTGATCTGTGCAGATTTCTCTCCTGATTCAGACGAGATGACTCGTTCACTGGAGGAGGCAATATTATGGATAAAGGACTCATATTTTAATGGTTTGATGTTAGAAACATCTTAATGAATTTTTTTCTCATAAACACACAGCTTTTCTCTTCACAGGACATTAATTGCCGGACTGGAGTGGTGTGGATTACTTGTGGATTATTGTGATGTTTTTATCAGCTCTCATTCTGACGGCACCCATTCACTGCAGAGGATCCATTGCTGAGCAAGTGATGTAGTGCTACATTTCTCCAAATCTGATGAAGAAACAAACTCATCTACTCCTGGATGACCTGAAAGTGAGAACATTTTCAGCAAATTTTCATTTTTTTTTTATGAACTATTCCTTTAAACCCCTATGACTTTCTTTCTTCTTTGAAACTTAAAAGGTGATATTTTGAGATGTGGGCTCCAATATTACTTGGTTCCCAATATCTGTCAAAAGACGAGATGACTCGTTCACTGGAGGAGGCAATATTATGGATAAAGGACTCATATTTTAATGGTTTGATGTTAGAAACATCTTAATGAATTTTTTTCTCATAAACACACAGCTTTTCTCTTCACAGGACATTAATTGCCGGACTGGAGTGGTGTGGATTACTTGTGGATTATTGTGATGTTTTTATCAGCTCTCATTCTGACGGCACCCATTCACTGCAGAGGATCCATTGCTGAGCAAGTGATGTAGTGCTACATTTCTCCAAACCTGATGAAGAAACAAACTCATCTACTCCTGGATGACCTGAAAGTGAGAACATTTTCAGCAAATTTTCATTTTTTTTTAATGAACTATTCCTTTAAACCCCTATGACTTTCTTTCTTCTTTGAAACTTAAAAAATGATATTTTGAGATGTGGGCTCCAATATTACTTGGTTCCCAATATCTGTCAAAATATCACCTTCATGTTCCACAGAAAAAAGAAAGTCATACAGGTTTGGAATGACACGAGGTTAAAAGATTATTGTTTGGGTGAAACATAACATGATCATGTTTCATTGAATTAAAAATGTCTTGTTGAATTGTTTCAATGAAATATAATTCATTTTGTGATGTTTATTATTGACTGATTTTACAGACATGCACAAGTGAGCCACACACAGCAGCATTTTGATTGGACTGGAACAGAAGATCCTCATCATCACGTGATCAGAGTACAGTTACCAATCTTCATTCATTTATGATTGTTTATAATAATAAAAATGTGTAGTATGTAGTGGAGGATTAGGTTCCAGATTGAGGCTGTAAACGTCCTGTTTTAATAGGAAATACGTTATAGCAGGGCCATGCAGCCATTTCATGAGGATCGTAAAGATAAACATGTGAAAGTGAGCTGTGCCGTGTGTGACAAAGTGTATTTCAGCCCAGCTGGACAGATAAGCGTTCCTGAGATAATACTAATCTAATATTTAACCAGCATTGCTGAAATTCTCCTTCACTCACAACAAATACTGCAATAAAACTCACTTAACTTAGTGATAAAAATGACCTAGAAGCAGTTAAAGGGATGTTGAGCACGTTGAACTCTGTAGTGTATGTGACATGGGTGCCGTCGTTCCTGACACATGCTCACGTGTTTGTGTTGTGATTCTAGCTTCTCTGTGTTATTACTCTCATCCAGCAGAAGCAGCACAAACACTCAGGTGCAAGTTTCTGCCTTGACGTCAGTTTTTAATTAGCTTTTGTTTTTATATTTTTAGTTTCAACGAATAGCCCTAAATATAAAACTAAATTCACAATTCAGCTGCATCAGTGACATTTCCAGTGTTACTGTAAATGTGCTCAGCTCTGAATGCTACTGTATGTGTTTACTCCGATGTAACGCAGTAGAACAAGAGTGGACTAGTTTACTCTATTAAAAAAAAAAAGCATTCATGTAAGAACTAAATGATCTCATGAGAGAATCTGTTCCAGCTGCATAACAAAAGGGAGCTTAAATGGTTAAATTCATTTTAATTGTGGTTTGAACAAACCTTTAAAGAAACCAAATACACCAGCATTTTTATTATAATTTTTTTTAAGCTTTAATTAGGCACAGATTATTGATGTTACAAGAAAATACCATTTCAGTTTTTCTACCTAAAATGTTCAGGTTAAATCCAATGTGTTATTTGCCATTTCTTTGTAATTATTTGTGGAATTTACTAGTAATGTCTGAGTTTAAACTACGCCAAATTTATTTTCAGAGCACACTGACCTTAGCCTTAATTTTTTCATTTTTTTTTTCATTTTTAATACTTCAACTTCCATTTATTTCAGCCAAGGCAACATTTATAATTTTCATATTTGTATATATGTTGCACCTGTTACAGGTGATAAGGCAGTGGATACGCACAATAATATGTCACAAATTATTAATATTATTTGTCTTTGTCTTGCTTATAAATTCATGCTGACTTGCTAAATAATAAAAAAAAAATAAACTGAAAACAAACATTTTATTAAGCAAAAAAATCAGATAAAATGAAACAGGGCATTCAACTAGAAAACATGCAGGATTAATTTTTTTAAGGGTTGAATCATAAAAAGTGAGTGTTTTATGTCTAAATGGAATCAGATTTTTGAATAAAATATATATTATTATAATTATTATAATATTTCAATGAAAGATTTTGAAGACAAATGACAAAGAGGAATCTTAAAATTAAATAGAGTTGGTTTTGATTTCATGTTGCTTTTAAATTTAATTACAATTTTGCTTTGAAATACTGTTTTATTATGATTAGTAAATCTATCTGACTGAAGCATCTTTTGTGTTTTTACAGTCGTGCCTCGTGCATCCAGCGCCAGAGTGGCTGTGATGTTGTTTCTACGAGCCCCATCAACTGTTTCACCTCTTACGGCCCACAGAACTGAACCGTGAGTCAAACCGCAACAGGAAGATCTGTCCCATTAAACAGAGACAGAATCTAGTAAATGCCCACAGAGGAGACGTGTCCTCACATGTCCAAATCAAACAGGAGATAAAGAGAGACTGTGTTTTTCTCTCATCTTAATGTAGACCATAACTCATGTTTAAGTACATGCGCTCTTAACCTCTGACTCCAGATTCATGTGTCAGCGGGCTGGAGGACGAACAAAGGCTGTTAAAATCCCCTGGAAACGTGAAAACAATCATGAGGATAATAAACAGAGCGCATAGATGAGCAGTTAAGAAGACACTTAGTCCATATGCGTGTGATAAGACAGTCACTTGTTGCCCAGCTCACCTTCAGAGTGAGGAGCTAGTCATTATGTACTTCGCGTGTTATTTTACTATTTGTATTATTTGTTAATATTTTGAATAATCTTTTATCTTTATCCTTTCAGTTTAGCTTGTCTTTTTTATATTTCTGATTAGCTTTATTTCTGTTTTAGTAATTTTTAGTACTTCAACTTTAGTTTAAGGTAGTCCACTTCAGTTTAAGGTAGTCAAGGCAACATTAAATTATATGAAAAATGTATAGAACAAAAATTAGAAATTGTATCATTTTTGTTTTATACGTTTTTCCATGTAATATTTGTATTTTACTTAAGTTTTATTTGAGTTAACACTAATAACACTTATAGTTATCATCCGTTGGTGTGGACACTGGTATAGTTATCGGTATAGCTATCGTCCATTAGTGTGGGCACTGATATAGTTATTGGTATAGCTATCAGTATATTTATCAGTATAGTTATCGCCCACTGATGTGGACACTAATATAATTATTGGTATAGTTCTCATCCATTTGTATGCACACTAATATAGTTATTGGTATAGTTATCATCCGATAATGTGGACACTAATATAGTTATATGCATCGTTAATATAGTTATTGGTGTAGTTTTTGTCCATTAGTGTGGACAGTGGACACTAATTTAGTTATCAGTATAGTTATTGTCCGTTGGTGTGGACACAATGTTAGTTATCGTTATGGTTATCAGTATATTTATTGCCCGTTGGTGTGACACTAATTTAGTTATCGGTATAGTTATCGTCTGTTGGTGGGGAAACTAATATAGTTATCATAATAGTTATCGTCTGTTGGTGGGGACACTAATATAGTTATCATTATAGGTATCGTCTGTTGGTGTGGACACTAATATAGTTATCATTATAGTTATCGTCTATTGGTGGGGACACTAATATAGTTATCATTATAGTTATCGTCTGTTGGTGGGGACACTAATATAGTTATCATTATAGTTATCGCCTGTTGGTGGGGACACTAATATAGTTATCATTATAGTTATCGTCTGTTGGTAAGGACACTAATATAGTTATCATTATAGTTATCATCCGTTGGTGTGGACACTAATTTAGTTATTGTTATAGTTATCATCTGTTGGTGTGGGCACTAATATGGTTATCATTATTGTTATCAGTACAGTTATTCTTCGTTGGTGTGGACACTAGTATAGTTATCTGTATAGTTATCGTCTGTTGGTGTGGTCACTAATTTTGTTATCGTTATGGTTATCAGTATAGTTATCGTCCATTGGTGTGGAGACTAATTTAGTTATCGGTATA